TTACAGAGAGGGACTTGTTAGTGGTTTCATCCCCGGTCTGAGGTCGGGAGAGGGTCATGGTGTGAAGATTTGGGGTGCTAAAGGACCTTTTAAGGCACAGAAGGCTGAAGAAGTAGGACTGCTCTTGACGAGTGATTTTTGCTTTTTTAATGGGTGAGTGTGGTCAGTCTAGGAGCTGATCATTCCTTCCTCCTTCAGGTGGCTGCGGAAAAGCTTGGAGCCAAATTTCTGGCCACCTTTAGCCAAAGAGTAGGACTTTCTGGAATGCGTTTGTGTTGATCAGCCTCATTCCTTCTTTTCTTTGCCTAAAATGTGTATTTTTTGTGTTCTTTCCTGCTTCCGTTTTACATTACCATTCTTTCTATGTGCAGTATTTTATCTCTCCTAAGTTTGTTTTTGGGACAAGTTTTTAAAAAATCAAGTTGAATGTGGCCCTTTCTGCTTGTATAGTTGTGAGGTCTCAGGAGGCTACTTTATCTCTCTGTGCCTCAAATTCAGCTTTTCATCTGTAAACCAGGGAAACTGACACCATCTTGCTGAGATATGGTAATGTGGGAGCAAGCATGGCTGTTTATAGAGAAAGATGCACTTTTTAGAATGGTTTCTGCTGCCACTACCAGGGAGCCAAGGATGGAAAAACACTGGGATCTAGTATTTTTGTCATGATTAGGGTCCTAGATCCTGTTTTCTCAGAATTATGTTAAAAAAACATGTTAAGCATTCATCTGCAGTCACTAAATATTACAGCTGCTTACAGTATGAGTTTGTCAAATAGGAATTTATGAGAAATATACTATTCACCCAGCTCTGGGACAGATCGAGGAAGAGAGAGGACATACATAGAAGAATAATCGTGGACAGATGATAGGATAAGGGTCAGATAGCTGAGCACAGCACTGGCTCACTCCTGCTCAGTCGCTGTGTTCATTTTGGCGTTTGCTGAGTTCTGCTGTGTTCTGGGGAGTTTGAAGCCATCTGTGGGTGCGCGCCTCAAACAAGGCAAGTCAGATCATCGAGGCAGGTCAGATCCCCATGCTCCTACAGCTTGTGTTTCCCCAAGGAAGAGACAGTTTAAAAATAAAGATAAATGCTTTAGAGCTGTACACTTAAAATGGGTGCATTTTTTTTTGTTGTTGTATAAATTATACCTGAATATAGCTGTTAAAAAAAGAAAAAAAAAAATCTTGGCCCTCATGGCGCTGACATTCAGGTTTGCCCTGATGAGTTTGATCCTTATTATTGGTGGATTCTGTTTTCGCAAATTCGGTTACTTGCTAAGATTTATTTGTATCCCCCAAATCAATGCTGAGCTTCCGTGGTCATTCACAGACGTGTGCAGAGCTGCAGACACTTTCGAGTTGCCCAACCCTCACATTCCCAGTGGAGGCCAAACAAGGCGACACTCTGCAGTCCCGTTCCGGCTCTCATCCTTGCAGACAGATGTCCTTTTCGTAGTCTCTTTAGTGCCACATGTTTTGCATTTTTGCGCTGCTTCTTGGTGATTTCACTGTTTAAAAATGGCCCCCGACTGTCGTGCAGAAGTGCTGTCTAGCGTCCTCAGCGTAGGATGGCTGCGATGTGCCTCATGGAGATAGCATATGTGGTTAGAAAAGTTTTATTCAGGCATGCCTTACAGCACTGTTGGCCATGAATTCAATGTTAATGAATCAACAGTATATGTTAAATAAGGTGTCTTCAAACAGAAACACACGTAAAACAAAGTTGTGAATTGATCTGTTGACAAAAATGGGACCAGAGGCTTGTATGAACCTAACCCTGTATTTCTCCCAGGAGCAATGTTTCAGTGTTCACTAATTCAGTGTTTTCAGTGACTTAAGAGAACATAACTTGTGTGAATGATGACAGTTGACTGTACATGTTGGGCGAAGGCAAGAATATATGTAGAACCCACATACCAAATATCTATCTTCCTCTTAAAAAAATGCAGAAGTTCTCAGACTTGGCAGTGCATTGGAATGCTCTGGGGAGTTTGACAAAATGCCCATGCCCCAGAGAGTCTGGTTTAATTGGCTGGGGTGTGGCACAGGCAGAGAGATTTTAAAAGCTCCCCCAGAAAGTCTAATGTGCACCTGGGGTTGAACACCAGTACTCTTCACATTGAATGATAACGTGTCTTAGAAATGGACCCTGGCCGGCCGGGCGCAGTGGCTCAAGCCTGTAATCCCAGCACTTTCGGAGGCCGAGGTGGGTGGATCACGAGGTCAAGAGATCGAGACCATCCTGGTCAACATGGTGAAACCCCGTCTCTACTAAAAAAAAAAAAAAAAAAAAAAAAATACAAAAAAAAAAAAAAAAGAAATGGACCCTGGCCAACTGAAGGAGGCTCTCTGGGGGCCAGCAGCACTGCCTGAGACCAGCCCAAGATCCAGAGCTCAGGGGTTCTTGGAATGGCCGGGCTCCTGCCCTGAGGAGAGGGTCTATCCCCTCCATCCTCCCACCCCCAGTAATGACCCCGCACACACCCTATGCCCACACACAGCTAGGAAGAGGTTTCCCTCAGGAAACACTGGTGCCATTAAGAGAGGAGAATGGATGGCAGACAGCCCAAGCCCCACAGAGGTCCAATCCACCCCGTGGTCTAAAAGACATGTGCATTTCCTGAATGAAATCAAGTGGGAGATTTGTGCCTAGGCAGGGTAGAGTGTTTGGTTAATGTCTACTTGCCTTTCTCCTGGCTTCTCCTTTCTCTCATTTTTTCCAGCTCTTCTGATCTTCCTTCACAGGGATTTTAGGCTGAGAAGATGAGGTTTGTCATCAGAGGAGTCATGTCAAGACAATATGGAGTACTAGGTGGTTGGGCCAGGAATGACCCATATGAACGGAGTTCAGTGAGGGAGAGCCACCATGGCTGGTGCAGTAAGGAGGGGCTCTGTGGCGGAGCTGGATTCGGGTGGCTTAGTGCCTGGACAGGTCTCACAGAGAAGGCCATTGGTGACAGAGATCAACCTGGATGATGACACTGGGGGCAGCTCCCACGACAGTGTGGGGATAAGGACAGCTGAATGAAGCTGACTTGACTTTTGATTTTTCATCTTAAACAATGAGCCGTTACTGAGCACTTGCTCTGTGCATCTGGGCTTGTTACATGAGAGGACCTGTGAGGATAAATGGGACAGCACAGTTCCTGCCTTCAAGGAGGTGAGAGCCTGATGAGAACTATGAACAAGGGTATGGAAATGATAAAAACAGCAGAGTGTGACACAGAGTGCGTCCAGCAAGCAGAGATCATGCCCCGTGAACAGCTGGAGATGGCTTCACAGAAGTCACAGCTGGGTGGGTCATGAAGGACAGTGAGATTCTAATCAGAACTGTGTGTGTGTACTGGTGGGTATAGGAAAGGTAAGACACAAAATGAGAGGGGCTAAAGCTCCCCAAAGGAAGGAGTGAGTAGGATGTATTGGCTGAAACCCAGCACATCTGTTTTAAAGAAAATACAGGCAGTTGGACTGGAAGGTAGGTCGAGAACACTGAAAAAGGCCTTGACCAAAAGTAATAAGGTTTTAGGGTAGGATGAAGAAGACCTGTATATTTGGACAGGGCTTGGTGTTTTCCGTCACTCCTTTCCTTAGCTAATCTCATTTGGGTTTTTTCCCTGCAAGCTTGATAGGACATGTCTAAGGCAGCAGCACAGAGACACAAGAAGGCTCGTCCTGCGTCTCTGTGTACAGAGTAAATGACACCCACTGAGTGGGATGTGTCTTGATGACCGGGAGAGGGGAGAAATTTGCTCTTTAAAGGAGAGGGTTGTCTCTAGAGGCAGCTGAGGATAGTAACCCCTTGCTGGCATGTCTGGGCAACACAGGGCGTCTGTGACGCATCATTCCCTTCTTTCCATGCTCCTTTGCTACTGCCCAGTGTGTTTGTCCCCACCCTGTCCCTCACATGTGCACCCTTCAAACCTCTGTTAGACAAGAACCAGCATCCCTTTATTGACACGTGTCTCCAGAGGGCCCTTGGGAAAGGCCTGGTCCTGGGTTTCCTTCTCACCTGGCCTCGATGCAGGTTTCAGAACAGTGTGGTTGGTGGTTCTCAGGCCTAGTTGTACATCTGAAACCTCTGGGGAGCTTTGAACAACACTTACAGCTGGACCACAGAGCCACGCCAGTCTATAGTACCCAGACCAGCTGAGGTATTACAAACACTCCTGATTTTAAGGACAAGCAGACTGAGGCTCGTGGCATAAGATTACTTGCTGGTAGTTACACAGCAAGAAAATGGCAGAGCTGGCATTTGAACCCAGAGAGTCGATTCTTGAGTCTGAGCTTCAAACCCCCAGGTTTTGTGATCTCTCCCCTGCTGGCTAAACTGTCATGGTACTGATTTGGCCATGCATAACTAGGTGACAACCACAGTTTTTTTTCACAGCACAACTAAGATTTTAAAGTCAGCTTTTGAAATAAACAAACCAGCAGTGTGAGATGTTACATCTGGCCCCATGCCTCTAAGGTAGATATGAAATTAGCAGCTGGAATTCTCTGTTTCTGAAGCTCAGGTGTGGATTTTCAGAGCTGGTCTCCAATGCATAGGCAGCCAGAGTGCTGGGGAAACCTCAGCTAGGCCCTAACCTTCTTGAAGGTTGTCACCTTATTTATTAGTTTCTGTCTTTCACACTGTTGACTGCACAGAACTAAATTGACAAGTACCTGAATGAATGAATGAATGAATGAACAAATGAATGGCTGACAGATTTGTACTATTCACTTGTGAGCTCCCATCCTGCCATGCACAGCTTGTTTCATCTCATCTGCAGTGAGTACCAGTCCAGATACCATCTGGGGCCCGGGGTACAGGTATTGAGAGGTATGTCATTAAAGAAAAATAGAACAAAAACCAGTGCTAACTCTGCATTAGGCAGAACTCTTCATCCAAGAGGTTTGTGGCCCTAAGATGTAAAAGGGGCAGTTAGCAGCTTCCACCTGTTTCTTTTGATGTGGCCAAAAGCTAAACTGGAACTCTTTTTTTGTTTGTTTGTTTTACAGGTCACAGCCAAGACTGCCTTTCTATTTATTTTACCTCAGTATAACATTAGCATGCCTACAGCAGGTAAGAATCTCTGGTTTCCATCTTCCCCTGGCCTTATTAACCCTGAAGGACCTGGAAAGCTTCCTTTCCCCCATACAGATACAATCTTTTTAGATATTTAAACCAGCCTCCAGCAGCCTCCACCACTGAGATTGCAGTGGGGAAGTACTTCCCTCTCTTCTGCTCTCTCTTATTCATCAGAAGAGGACCTACTGCACCATGCAGTTCTTCATGCTTCTCCTACTCCTATCTCCAAAGCATCTAGTGTTGACTTCTGTTAGAGACAGGACGTGAGGCATCATGACCATTGATCTGTTCTCCAGAGCATGGCTTCCTTTTAACATTTTCAGTGAGGAGAATGTGCAGGATGTTGCATTTTGATAGTGCATGGAAGCATGGTTGGCGGGGACAGAGTGCTGCACTCTGACTGGGTTGGGGTAAGGACTAAACCTCAGACCCAGCCACGAGTCTTGTCGCAGGACTGTTGTTATGGCCCACTGACCAGAGCTGCCGCATCACATGCTTCCCCCATAGTGGCTTAGTATTTTCAAGTGCTTACAGGGAGCCCAGCCAGCATCATGCCAGGTACCACAGTTGAGGGGCTACTGTCCAGTTCCCAGTACAGTTGAGGGGCTATAGCTCAAGGAGCAGCAGGGCCAGGCAGGTAAATTGCTGAACTGGACAGGAGAGAGGGTCCATCTGAAGATGGCAGCTCACTTCCAGCCAGTTGTTGTCACATAGGAGTATAAACCCTGTGTGTCTAAGAGCTTCCTTTCCCACCCCTTCCCTTGAGAAAATCCAAAGAAATCTCTTTTTAGGTAGAAATACTCTGATTTTTAAATGTTGCCAAGTAATTTAGAAATTCTGCAGACACCACACAGTTCAATATTGTATAAGCCAAAACAAAACATCTGAAGGCCATGTTCAGCCCTCAGGTACAGGTCTGCAACTTTGGGGTTCTCAGATCCCGCCACCACCACCCAAGCATCACTCCTTTCTCAGTGGCAAAGTCCTGGGTGGCCTCTTGATGAAAAAAGAAAGGACTTTTATTTGCTGAACCTAGTTCTTTCCTCTTTATTCTTTTTTTTTTTTTTTTTTCTTTTTTTGAGACGGAGTTTTGCTCTTGTTGCCCAGGCTGGAGTGCAATGGTGATCTTGGCTCACCGCAACCTCTGCTTCCTGGGCTCAGGCAATTCTCCTGCGTCAGCCTCCTGAGTAGTTGGGACTACAGGCATATGCCACCACTCCTGGCTAATTTTTTGTATTTAGTAGAGATAGGGTTTTACCATGTTAGTCGGGCTGGTCTTGAACTCCTCACTTCAGGTAATCTGTCTGCCTCGGCCTCCAAAAGTGCTGGGATTACAGGCATGTGCCACTGTGCCCAGCCCTTTCCTCTTTGTAGTAGAGAGGTGGCTTGTCTTGACTTTTAAGGTGAGATTCTTTTCCTTGTCTGGTTCTGCCAACTACTAGCTGAAGGACTTTGGGGGCAAATTTCTGAACCTATGGCTCATGGAAGATATAGTCTGAGTCTTTCCTGGACCCACCACCCACTGCAGTCACTGTGGCCAGGCTTGGGAGGAAGCCGTGCTTCTGGGGCAATCAAGTCAGTTTCTTCATCTGAGAGTGAAACTGAGGGACATTGCCAAGAGAAGAAGAAAACTCCATGCCATGAAAGAGACTCAAGAGCATCTCTGCCCTCAGTGGGCCAGGAAACGTGGCCAGCACCAGTGGTCAGGAAGCAAGCAGATGCCCGCTCATCCCAGGGCACACTCCAGTGCTGGGGGGCACATGGATGATGTGGCTCAGTGCTATGTATTCTAAGTCAAATCCGGGCTTCTTTACTCCTGCCTTTTGAAAATCCTAATAACAGAGACTTGGCTGTACTCAAGATTTACTGATTTATTTTTAATTTTAAAAAATTGTATATGTGACATAAAATCTACCATCATAACCATTTTTAAGCGTGTAACTTAGTGGCATTAAGTACATTCACAGTGTTGTGCTACCATTACCACCATCCATCTCCAGAACTCTTTCATCTTGCAGATTGAAACTCTGCCCACCAAACCCTAACTCCCCTTTCCCTACCCTCTCCCCAGCCCCTGACAGCCCCCAACCGACCTCATTCCATTTTCTGTCTCTGAATTTGACTACCTTAGGTACCTCATATAAGTGAAATCACATGTAGTAGTTGACATTTTATGATTAGGTAAAATTTATTCTCAAACACTTTTTCAAAATACATTTATCTGAGTGATATATAACTCTTAGAGAAAAATTATACAGAAAACCATAAGAAGATAAAAGTCACACAGGACACCATCACCTAGAAAAAACTAAAGTTCAAACATTTTAGAATATTGATTTATAACACAATTTTTTGCTATTGTAATATGATGAACCTTCTTCTGTGTCATCGATGATCATTCCATTTAAGCAGACATTCTGAAAAGCTGCGGGATGTTTCTTAATAGGGATTATCACAAATTATCCAGTCAGCCCCATATGAATATTTAAGTTTCCTGTTTTTATTGTAAATAGTACTGCAATGAACATTCTTGTGGCTAAATTTTACATTTATTTATGATTACTTAGGATAACTTCCTATTACCGGAATTTCTGGGTTAAGTAGTATGTAAAGGATTTATGTGTGTATTGCCAAAATACCCTCTGTTATTTAAATACTTGTGACCCATAAACCCTGAATATTAAAGTTGTTTTATGAATATAAAATACACAGGATTAAAAAGAAATCAGAATGCCAAGTTTATAATTATAAATGTCTAAAGAGACAGCCAATTATCAAACATCATGCTGGTGTTTTCATTACATTTCTCCCTGAAGTCAACTTACAGGGGACGCTGGATCATACCTCACATACCCAGAGCTGTGTTACTAATTAACCATGAGAAAGAATTGTCCTGGAGACCACAAAAGTTGCTGTGCATGTGATTGGGCATCCTTTTATTATAAGTAGGGCTTATTTGTGAACCCAGATTATGATCAGAGGGATGATTTTTTGAGTTTGAACCCTTCCCAGAGACATTGGCAGACAAGTGATATCCTCATGCATTCTCCCAACGGCATGAGAGGCATAGAAAACATGCTGTAGAGCTGAACTCAGAGCCTCTGGGCAGAAAAGGCTTCCCACTCTGTTTGAGTAAGGGGGAGCGGGGGGTAGTAGAGTGCCACTGTGGATCATGTCATGCCTCCATTTGCTTAATTAATTAATCAAGCTAGACAAATATTTGTGTGCCCATTGTGGGCCAGGCCCTGGGTATAAAATAATTTACAGAACCTATCTGATCTCTGATGTCATGAAGATTATCATTTATTAGAGAGAGATAGGTAATACACAAGTAAACAATGAATTAAATTATAGTTGTGATAGGGTGATGAAGGAAATATACAAGGTTCTGTGGTCAGGAAAAACAAAGGGGTGGCAACAGAAGATGTTTGTGAGTGTGGGGTTGCGTTGTGTTGTGAGTAGAGAGAGAGAGGTCTGGGCAGAAGAAAGCACTTTGGGCACAGGGACCAGCAGGTGCAAAAGCCCTCAAGTGAGGCGCAGACACCTTGAGTGGGGTGTTCTAGTAGCTGAACATAGGCCAGCGTAACTGGAGCCAGAGGAGTTTGGCATTTCCCCTGCGTGGGACTATTGAATTCTGCTTCTGAAATCCTCCAGAACAGGCCTGGGTAGAGGAAGAGTTAAGTACATGCTAAATGGAGGGGGTTTCAGTTACTTTAGAAAGAGAAGATAGAGTGTTGTTAAATAGCCTATCTTTTATTTAAATCTTGCCATTTGGGGCTGTTGGAAATATGACAAGCAAATAATCAAGAGAGACAGTGAAATCAGAATAGCCTGCTTAATTTTGTTTTGAGCTCCTTAATCACTAACCCAATACGGTAGTTTGGTTTGTAAGAATTGGAAGAAAGCAAACTTTTCATGGAAAAAAACACTTTATATGATAACAAGTCTGTTAAGGTTGTGATTTTTAAAACCTTCCTCAAAATCTCTTTAGATTATACTCCACTCTTAGACATGTACCTTTTTTTTTTAAGAGCCCCGGTAAATTCGGACTTCTTTTTAAATTTTATTTATTTATTTATTTATTTATTTATTTATTTATTTATTTATTTTGAGATGGAGTCTTGCTCTGTTACCAGGCTGGAGTGCAGTGGCGCGATCTCAGCTCACTGCAACCTTCATCTCCTGAGTTCAAGCGATTCTCCTGCCTCAGCCTCTTGAGTAGCTGGAATTACAGGCACACATTACCATGTCCAGCTAATTTTTGCATTTTTATTAGTGACAGGGTTTCACCGTGTTGGGCAGGCTGGTCTCAATCTCTTTACCTTGTGATCCGCCCACCTATGCCTTCCGAAGTGCTGGGATTATAGGCGTGAGCCACTGCACCCAGCCGTAAATTCTGACTTCTAAGGTTTCTTCCTTAAGTAGTGTGTAACTTGGTCAACTCAACATTTAAAACTGAATTTTAGTAGAGCCAGTGACTGTTTTCATACGAGGGGGTCCATCATTTCCAAATCCCTGTGTCTTCCTCAGCTGACGTTTTTTCTAAGGAACAAAGCTAGTAATTAGTGTGAGTGATGCTTTTTCTTGACTGTTTTGTTTTGTCGTAACTCCCTCTTCTTCCATACTTCCTTCTCTTCTTCCCAGCTCCTAGTATTAGTTTCCTAGGGCCGGTGTAACAAAAGTAGGACAAACCAAGTGGCCGAAACAATAGAAATTTATCATCCCAGCCTTCTGGAGGCCTAAGCCCGAGCTGCCTCCTCAGAAGGCTCTGGGAAAGATCTGGTCCAGGTTTCCCTCCTGGCTTCTGGAGGCTTCCCCCCCTTTGCATGTGGCAGCGCAATGCCAGTTTTCACATGGCATTCTCTCTGTGTGCGTGTCAGTCTGTGTGTCCAAATCTCTCTTTTTCATAAGGACACAGTCATATTGGATTAGAGGCCCAACCTACTCCATGGTGACCTCATCTTAACTAACTACATCTGCAGAGATCTTGTTTC